CCTTTTCTTTCTTGTGAACTTGAAAGGACAGACTAACTAGAGTGTTGATATCTTATCAAAATGACATGACTGTAGAGTTCTTTAAGTTAGCTTAGAAATAGAGTTTTAAGCTATTGTTCGACTGGTCTGTGTTGCTTACAGATGTTCCTGAGCAACCGATCTATTGGGGATCTCACTCAGGCATCAAGGATATTGCTGAGTCCGTCTCTCAAGTTGATCCTCATCCAAACTGTCATACAGTTTTTGATTGCTGCCATAGGGATTATTTTCCAGTGGAACCGTGAAAGACGTTATAGACCAGCAAGTCCTGATTGTCTGGACTCAACCTCTAGGATGTAAGCTTAAAGTTTTTAAATTGCTGAATTGTCCAGCAAATTCTCCAGTACTGATACTGAGAGCCTTGTTAAATAGAGGGAGACATATGGAAAATACAGAAGCAGTGTAATGCAAATTAATGAAAACAGTTTTGTATAAGGTGTTTCCAGAGGTACATAAAGTATTTGTAGATATCTAAGAATATTTGAATCAGATTTTAGGTGAAATGAATTTTAGAAATGACAGAGAGCAAAAGAGGGAAGAAAAGGATGCTGGACAAGGAGTTGCTGCCCAGCAAAATCATGCCAGGATTTGGATATTGGATTATGCAAGTTATGTAATATTATGACAGATTTAAATGGAAAATCATAAAGTAAATATACATTTTGTAATTAACAAATTAAGATTATGAAAGAACACTATCACTGTAATATTCTTTGCCATTTCACACTTGTATGTAGTGGTTTCTTATATCCACCTTGCTAACAACAGTAACATTTTACTCAGAATCACATTTTATATCATATCTGTGAATGTTTTACTATAACTCATCAGACAATGGGATTTGCATGTTAGCATCATTTGTTTATATATTTCTCAGAGTCCCTGCTTGCACAGAGGATCGTTTTGAAAATGAAAGTTTCTCAGTGAAACATGTAATAAGAGACTACCTTGCAATTGTTTGTTTGTTAATTGCTGTGGTTAGAAATCCTAATGATGAAACTGGTCATCCAATGAAATTGTGTTTGTTTTGTCAACTGTAAGAATGGCTGAGCTTGTTAGAAGCAAGCTGCGTTTTTCATTGGTAATTTTCTAGTTGTGGAAAAAGCCAAGTCATAAATTTAACTATTTCCAGATTTTTGTAACTTATCTACTATTTTCAATAATTGACTTATTGTCTTCTCCATTGTATCTTCATTGATATTCTCAGAATAATACAAGAGTTGCATCACAATGACTACTTTGCATAGGAAAGTCGGATTCTGTTGAAGTCAATGCCTCTGGGTAGCTGACTGAGTTTGCCTCCAGAGGCTATTTCAAACAGGGGTTATGTGTTGCACTTGCCATGTTGTACAAATAAAATGATAAATTTCTTTTTGCAGCACATGTATCCAAAGCATGCATATTCAGAGATGCTTAATATTCACTGTAGTTACATTGAACCAGCAGTATCATGATTATGTACATTAGACTTCATTTAAGTAAAATTGGTGTGTTTCACTCTGTGTACAAGATGCAATGTTTATTTTACTGAAGGTTAGAAAAAAATCCTTCATTTTTGCAAATCTCATGTTCACAAAATGATGGATTTTATACGCTTATATACAAGGCTGCTACTCCTGTCTTCAGTACTTTTATTTTTTTGTGCCATGCTTCAAGAATCATGCTGTCAGAGTGCTATATGACAATGTAAGTAGTTGACATGAAGAGATCGATCATGTAAACTAGAGTGAAAATTACAGAGCCGCAGCAGCAAGAAAGCGCAATGGTTTGGCGCGTTTCCAGGCATTGCAAACTAATGATTTATGTACTGAATATTGCCCTTTATCCAAAATAATAGACAGAGCATTACACTTTCCATTTTCCTACAGACAATGCCCTTGGGCATGTGATAAATAGGCACAAGGATACCTTGTAAAAAACAGCTCTAGATGTAATTCATGCATCAGAGTAACATGATACAAATGACTGTAGCCCAGAGCCATGCCCAAGTCAGCAGTGACATGAATGACCCTTCACTTGGAGCCATAACATTAATCCAGCATTGTCTCTAGGCTAAGGATTAAAGGGTGAAATGAGCCTCATGCATTAGCACAAATCATGAAAATTCTCTTCAACTGTTTTACCATAGAAGATGGGAATGGAATGATGTGTCTCTGTGATTATAGAAATTTCATTGGAGAATGAAAATTGGGTTTGAAATTCTAGCATGGATGAAAAGCAATGATTGGGAAATATTGCTTTGGAAAAAAGAAATGCTGTGAAAAGCAACAGCACACCTAAATCTAGATTTAAAGTGATACAAATGCAGTATATATTGTTTCCGAGTTTCTGGTTCTTTTATTACTTCTAAACTTGAATTATATGAAGCACTTGTAGTTGTTGTGCCTTGGTGAAATTAAGATTGTATGGTTTAGTTTTTTTATGTATAGCTCTTATTTTTGATTACTTCTATAGTAATTTG